CAAATAAAATAGATGACCTTTAACCTCTATAACATTCTCGTAGGCTATTCAGTTTCAACCTTAAAAAATTTCCCTGGGTTTTGGTTCTTTAACCCACGCCTGACCTCTTGTTGGAGAGCTCTGGTAATTTAAATGATTTGTGCTAATCATCTGTACCAAATTCTGTTGTATATCTTTATTATCATGATCATAAATAACAATTGTTTCCATTTGTAGATGGTGGTGTCATGAGAAGTATGAAAAAAAAAGACTTAGTCTCTGCCCTTTTAATTAGCTCTGCCTAGATATTACTATACTTCACACTGGAAATCAGAAAATCAGTATGAGTAGCCCCAAGTAAAAAGGCTTGAAAGAGGAAAAAAAAGAAAATTCTTTGATAAGTTGGGTTTTTTTTTATCCCTGAATAGGCAAAGCACTCAAACAAGTCAGTTCCCAATTTCTGAGAAAACATGACCACCTAAGTCAAGAGAGATAAGCAGCTGAGAGAAGCTGACTAAGATTTGTACAAATGCATGTAGGACAAAAGATAATTATCTTACAGGAATTTGGGGTGGCATCATTCACATTATGATTATGAACAGCCTTCTTTAATTGTAAGTATATAGGAAAGATATTATATTGCACATTTATAATGGGTCTGATTCATTTTGCAAGACCACTTCTCTATATGTGTCTGAGGAGGGTGGTGTAGACGGGGAGCTGGAGAAGCATTCTTAAATCATCTTAAAATTCTATTAAAGTATGAAGATTTGAATTACATAAAGTCATTATTACGCCTCAAGGGTAAAAAGTCTGTAGCAGATTTAGACCTTGGGATTGTGAAATGCTGTGTCACAAGAGATTGTTACCAGGAATTTCGGAGTTTGAAATTGATCACTGGAGGACGACTAGAGGCTGCTCCATTGTAAAGTGATTAGGCAATTGCCTACAATCTGACACATGCAAGAGTCTTAATAGATATCGAAGCAGACGACAAAAATAACCTTTCAGCCAAAGAATGTGAGAGACATGGCCATCGCAGATGCCCCTTCACTGTCCTGGGGCAGTCTGCCTAAACAGTACTTAATAAACATATATGCGTTTCAGATTTGCTATTTCCAGAACAAATAAAAGCCATGTATTATTGAATAGTACAGGAGCAGTTAATCCTACCTGCTTTCTTCTGAATGCATTGTGCTCAGACTAATGTTTAGAACAATGGGACAACAAGCGTCTCATCCAGTCAGAACTCAAGCCATGTCCGGATGAGCACTGGTTTACACACACAGTGTCTACCCCGCCATCCAAGCCAGAACTAAACTGTGATGTTAACCAACAGCCACTGCACATCCGTAATAGCACATAATAATTCTATGTGACCTATCTACCTGTGGTCAGTGACATTTTAAATGTCTAGGGATATGACAAAGGCAGAGAACTTGAATCAGACTTTGCAAAATATCAGAGCAGGAGACTTTGAAAGAGTCCTCCCTGTCTCATTACAATTTTTTTAGGGTCTTCTTTGTAGTCTGTAGATAGGGATGTGGAGTGTGGGATTAGAGAGGAAATAGGGAAGAGACTGGCCCCATGAAAGTTTTACATGATTGCATCTGTGTTTTAGAAAACTATCTCTGGAGGCTAGGCAGAGAAAGGATGAGAGAAAGAATTGACTAGGGATGGGGAAAACGCTTTGGGGGTCATTACAATGGCACGGTTGAGAGAGAATGAGAGATTGAACTACAGCAATGAAAATGGGAATTAAGAAGAATAACAAGAAGATCTGCATGTAGGAGCTCATTAATGGTTTTTCAGATCTCATTTTGAGTTTCTGCTTGTGCTGTAAAGCTAAGCTTAATACCTATTGGGTCGCTGGGCCACTGCCTGGACCAGGTACTTAAATAAGGTGGCCCGAAGCACTGGAGACTCCAGTGAGTTGGGTCTGCAGGTAAACTGTCACCTTAGAACTTTCCCTACAGACAGACTGGTAGGGGACTGGAAAACAAATGAGCTAAGGTCCAAGCCCTCTTTTGGAAGCAAGGCCTTTTCTGATGAGGGAATATCATCCTAGCCAGAGTGGGGCTTCTCAGGGACAGCTCAGTGGTAATCTTGGCATCTCCTGCCTTAGCCCAGTGGGAAGCACACAGTAGCTCTCGATAATAAATAATAATAATAAAATAATTTAAAATTTACCCACACTTTCCACTCAGTCTACATAATAGCCTTATTTAAAATATACTCCTGGGCGCCTGGGTGGCTCAGTTGGTTAAGCGACTGCCTTCGGCTCAGGTCATGATCCCGGAGTCCCTGGATCGAGTCCCGCATCGGGCTCCCTGCTCGGCAGGGAGTCTGCTTCTCCCTCTGACCCTCCCCCCTCTCATGTGCTCTCTCTCTCATTCTCTCTCTCTCAAATAAATAAATAAAAAATCTTTAAAAAAATAAAATAAAATAAAATATACTCCTAGTTTTAACAGTTTTAACAGTGTAACTAAATTAACCGTAAGAAATGGAAACATAAACCATCCTAAGAAATGGAAATGTAAACCATACTAATCAAAAACAAGCCCTGAAGGAACGAAACTGAAAACAGTATATACAAATCAGATGAACCACGGGATTGAAAAGTAATATAACATAGTACACAATGGGTAAACTAAAACCACCACAGATTAGTAATAAGCTCTGTAAGAGGCAAAGAGTTTTATTTGCTTACCTGCTGCAACCTCAGATCCTAGCACACGGGAAGCACTCAGTAAATATTTGTTGAATGAATAAATAAGCCGTCCTGGTTTTTAAAAAAGAAAGAAAGAAAGAAAAGAAGGAAGGAAGGAAGGAAGAAATATAATTAGCTACAATTAGCTTTTTCTTCTATTAGACGTTGATGTATTTTTTTTTTAATTTGGTCCAATTCTAGAACTAAAGAAAACATCTCCCATGCAGCTGTATTTTTTTTTTATGTAGACCACTGCCAAATAGTGATATTTTAATCCCATAAGGAATAGAGAATAGAATGCAAATTGTTCTTTTTCTCATGATAGAAGCTCTTATTCTTTTGCTCTGTCATTCTACAATTCTAGAGAAGCTGGAGATAGAAAATCATGTGTAGATGCTTGACATTTAGTTCTTTCCAGGGAAGTAAACTTACTTGGCTATTTTAATACTCCTTGGTGAACTATTAGTGATGGGTTGTTTCCCAGAGATGTTTTTCTCAGAAACATGAAGAAAAATAAAATCTTAAAAGGAAAAGGAACACATCTGAGCAATGGGAGAATTTTCAAGTAGCATATTCCTGAAACAATCAAATATGATCTATGGCAACATACTTCGTCAGGCAGGAATTCACTCAGTTCATCTTGTAGCACATCCTCAAATACTTCAGTCTTTTCTTAAACTAGCCCAGACAGAGTCTGTTTTATTATTGAAGACTTGCACTCATTTATTCACTTAACAAATACTTATTAAGGATTTACTAAGTGCCAAAATTTTCAGCTACATCCTAAGCATATAGTGTTAAATAAAACATAACCCTTAACCTTCCGGGAGGGCATAGCCTCCGACAATTTGCTCCATGAGATTTCACAAGTTAAAATGCCCTTGTGTTTTGGGACTAGTGAAACGAAAGATGTGAAAGGAAGAAATGATAACATCTTTTGAAATGTTATTACATGCCAGGCACAGTTAGAGGGGTATCCCTAGCCAAGCTTTCTAAATAGCTTCCCAATCCACCCCTGCTTCCTTTTTTTTTTTTTCATCCTGCGTTTTGTTTCTTCATCTACTAATTTCCACTTGACATTGTTCAAGGCTCTATCCCCAGCTCTGGGAAGTAGCCGGCAGACAGTACCGTTTTTTGTAGTCATTGCATGAATGAGCTTGAGAGGTAGGAATACTTTTACAAATGAGACCAAGACTGATCACATAAATGATTTGCTTATGATTGTGAGACTCTTAAGGCACAAATCAGGGGCTTCAACCTTTGTATGAAGGCAAAGCCTGTGTTCTTTCTACAACCACTCCTTTAAATGCATAGTTCTGTACCGACTCTCCTCTTTCATTAAGCACTGTTAAGTGAAAAACACTTGGAGGTTCAGGGATCTTGCCTTCAAGAGCCTGACAGTCTGCTTAGGAAGAGATCCAACTAAAAGTGTAAGGCAGTGTCTGGCTTTGGAAGGAACCTCAGAGACAATAACAGGAGGAGGCTGAGCTGGGCCTGGTGCTGGGTCCTGAAGAGCACCCTTACCTGGCTGGGGTCTGTTGCCAGAGAATAGGAGTAAGCAGAGTAAGTAAAATCCTTCAGAGTAGACAGCTTTCCTACAAGCCCTTTCCCTGAGTCCCTGTTTCCATTTAGATGCCAGAGAAGAGCGGATTCCCCCCCACCCCTTTTTTTGCAGAGGGAAAATGGAGGAAGGTAGAAGAAAGGCTCATTTTGAAGAACGTTTGGAGAGTTTGTGGTCTTAAGAAGAAATGAAGAGATGGAGAAAAACAAATTGCAGCAACTGAGGTTGTTTGCCTAGGAAAGAGAAAAAGTATGGGAGTGCAGGGTGGGATGAGGAGCCAACTTCAAAATCTCTCTTCATGGGGAATTCAGAAGTTTGTTGCATGTCCTCACACTTACTGGGAAAACATCTGGCGTGTCTTGCCCTTGAAGGACTGTTGGTTCTTTTTGCAGGAGAGGGTTTAGATTTACTCTCTTGATACCAAACAGTGGAACCAAAGGGTGAAGGCCTGATGGAAACGCGTTTCTACTCGACACAAAGAAATGCCTTTAAAGGGAGCTGCAGTCTCAGGAGGTGGTGAATCTGCTCCGAGAGTTTTCCAGCAGAGACAGGTCTCCCCCTGGGCCCCGCCCGCCAGGGAATCGGCCCCCAGGGTCGTGGCACCCGGGTCCAGGGTCTCAGGCCGGGGGCGGGGACCGGGAGCGAGCGTGCACGTGCCCGAGGCTCCAGCTGCGCGTCCCGGGCTCCCCTGGGAGCGCCGCGGGGCGGAGCGGGCGGGGGAGCGGCGACAGAGCTCTGCCGGCGGCTGGGAGCGCGGGAACAGGGCGCAGCATGTTCGCGGCTGTCGGGGGCCTCGGGGGCCTCCGGCGCCTCCGTCTGGGGCGCATCTTACGCTGGGCCCCGGGAGTGCACGGAGAAGCCGCGCCCCGGCCCATCGCGCCTCTGCGGCCTCGGGGTCTGCCCCGCTACTGCAGCGGCCGGGCGGCCAGTGGCTCTGAGCCCCAAGGTCCAGGTGAGGCCGAGCTGGGAACGACCTGAGAGGGAGGGGGTGCGGAGCGGCGGGCGAGGAGCTGGGGCTGGGGTGAGGGAGGGAGTGGAGGCGTGAGTGCGTTCTGAGCCACTGTGCCGTCGGTCAGTCGGTTCCTCCGCAGCAGGAAAGGTCCACCGGGTCCCCGCCGAGTACAAGCCTTCGCAATTCGATAAGAAAATCCTGCTGTGGACCGGGCGTTTCAAAGCGATGGAGGACATCCCGCCTCGGATCCCGTAAGTGTGGCCTGCGCGGCGGCCAGGTTTCGTGCGCGTGGGGGGTGCGCGGTCGATGCACGTCCCGACCGCGGCGCGCCCTGGAAAGAAGGCGGCCGCAGCGCTTCACAGCACCTACCACCTTAAGGAAAGTACCTCCCCAGCCTCCCCCTAGTGCGGTTCAACGTCAAACGCCTTGACTGAACAGTGGGCACCTAAGCTTACAAGGAGATTGGTGAAGTTGAGCGAAACCCCAGAAGTTCAGTGGGCACTTCCACCATCGCCCAGATACCAGCCCCAGGGAGCTCAGAGCCGCAAGGCAGCGGAGTGCCCAGGCCACACGGAAGGCATGGTCCGCGCGTGCACCTCGGGTGCCTGCGGGGTCCCCAGAGAGGGAGAGGGGCTCTGCCCGGGGAGCAGCTCCCTGCTCCACCCAACGAAGGCTCGTGGCTCCTGGGAGGACTATAGAGCCTCTGGGAAGAAGCCGCACCCACGCGACCTCCTATTCTGGGGCGGGAGAAGCCTGGTGTACCTGGTTCTGCAGCCCACCGAGTGCCGGGTGTACTCGGGCTAGGACCCTCGGAGCGTCAGCATCGCTGGCCTCTTCACCATCCCAAAACCACGAGAGAGGCTCGCTTAAATGATAAAACTCAAGCTGACAACTTCACCCCAAGGGTAAATTTAACCTGTAAAAACCATCTTTCTACAGTTTCAGTTTATGCAAGCCCAAAATACTTCCCAGCATTTTTTACAAGGGAGTGGATTAAAAAAAAGGGAATGAAGGAAACTAACAATAAAACCAATCTACTACTTTTTAAGCTGATCTTTTAAAAAAAAAATGAGACTAGAACTATAATATCAAATAAGGATTTCAGATGTCCTGTATATAATTTTTATACAATGTAATCAATGCCTAGTAGAATGAATAACGGAAACTAGGCCTACATCTTGTTCTCCACATATTACCTACACTTTTTAAAATTTAAATTTAAAGTTACATTTGTTTAAATTGAAGTATAGTTGACACACAATGTTACATTAGTTTCAGCTGTACTTGTCTACACTTTTATTACTTTGTAATTTACTAGTTACCAAAAGCATATCAAATAAGTGGAAAAAAAACATGTGATGGGAAATGTTCGGTCAATAATGAATTCTCAAACATTTTATCCCTTTCTTGGATCAAATTATTTAATGAGGAAAGGACATGGAATTTGAAATAACACAGAATTTGAAATCTGTATTCAGCATTTATTCAACCACAGAGACATTCTTTAATATTATAAAACAAATATTGTTTTCTTTGAGATCTGTAGACTCTGAACTACAGACTTAGCCCAAAGCAGAAATTATCCTCAGAACAGCTAAAATACCATCCTTAATTTTTTGGAATTTTGAGTTTTAGTGCTATAACAGAGTAATCAATACTTCAATAATAAATAAAAATAAATAAACTGATAACTTAAAAAAAGAATGTAAAGAACCTGCAGTATTGTAAATTAATGCTTGTCAAGAGGCAGTAGGCCCAATATTGCATTAATATAGCTCTATGTGTGAAGAGAACCATTTTATAGAAATAATTTAATTTCCCCAGGATCACAGTCAAAAGAAATGTTATAAAAAGGAGAATTTAACTTCAAATAAGATGTCTAAGAAAGGAATTATAGTTTGGCATTGGAAACATTAAAGTATTTGAATATTTTTCATTGTGCTGTTTTCTATTATTTTTTTATTTTTTTATTATTTATTTGAGAGAGAGAGAGAGTGAGCACGAGAGGGGGGAGGGTCAGAGGGAGAAGCAGACTCCCCACTGAGCAGGGAGTCCGATGTGGGACTTGATCCTGGGACTCCAGGATCATGACCTGAACCCAAGGCAGTCGCTTAACCAACTGAGCCACCCAGGCACCCTGTTTTCTGTAATTTTTTAAAGCATTGCCGTTGAAGAGGGATATGCCTCCCAAACTAAATTTTAGACTTACAATGTGAACAGCTTTCACTTAGTATGCTCTTAATGGACATGTAATTAACAAGTGACCTATAATTTTTGTATCATACACTAATGATATTTAATAATAATGCTTTTTCTTGTTTTTTCAGCACAAACCTAATTTGGTATAGCAGATCAAAGCCAGATGGATGGGTAAAAAAGATCGTATCTTCTAGGCTCCATCTGGAACAAAAGTCAGCAACAAGTATAATCTAATAAAGTCTTCATATTCACCTGTTTGCAACTAACATCTTAAAACGTACATTAATCTGTCTCAAATTTAAGGAAAACAGGCTAGATATTGGCTTGCTGTGCTCTTTAAACTGGTGGAAAAGTTAAAAAAAAATTTTCATTTTTAAAAGAAATTGCAACTTGTCTTTCTGAAATTTTTTTTCAATGTAACCACATTCTGTTTAAACTTGACATTAGATAAGAAAGAATACTGCTGCATACATTCTCAAGAATCATTCTTTAATCATGCGTATCTATAAACTACCACTTCGTATTATTGCAAATTGTTAAAGTTTATTTCAGTATAAAAGGCCTACAGACACGATTAGGTTTGTAACCCTGATTTGTTAAGTAGCATTGCTAAAATCTTAAACAACTTGCCTGTAACTTTATATTAATAAATAAGTTTCCCCAGTATTCAAAGAAGTATATAAAATTTCAGAATAATAAGAAAACGAAGGTGACTTTGTCTTTTTCTTCGACAAATCATTGTAATTTTGATCATTTATTTTGAAAACTTCATGCAAAAGCCACAAAGGAAACACGTTTTCTCTAATAGTGGTCCCCACAGAATGGGGATAGGATGGGAGGGGGCAAGAAGGGATCGGGAGCCCAGTGAGAAAACAAAATGAGGAAAACGAATTTTAAAAAAACGTGTTTAAAACTAAAAAGGAGGGGTGCCTGGGTAACTCAGTCAGTTAAGGGCCCAACTCTTGGTTTCAGCTCAGGTCATGATCTCAGGGTCATGAGATCGAGCCCTCCTCAGGCTCCAGGCTCAGCACACAGTCCGCTTGAGATTCTCTCTCACTCTCCCTCTGCCCCTCCCTCCCACCACCACACTCTCTCTCTCTCTCAAAATAAATAAATAAATAAAATCTAAAAAAAAAAAACTAAACTAAAAATGAAGCCCACTTAATAACAGAGGGGCCAAATGAACACGAGTCATAGACATATATAGACTTAAATTCTTACCTTTACCCTGATCTGTGACAAAAAAATGAGAGTCAGGCCATAATTTTTAGTAGTTCTATTTTGAGCAGTTAGAAACTAAATATACTACATTGTAGTTTCATGGTGACTAACATTAATTAAGACCTAAATATATCTGTCATTTGAAATTGGGGACATAATGGGCTAGCCTTTGGATATCTTCCACATCGGCAGTTGGCATTCAGGGAAATTTGGGGAATATTTACATAATAAATGATTGTCTATCATGCCAGTGAGAAAAAAGCAGATTGCTTCAATTAATTAACAGAATACACATCTTGGTTTAGGCCAGAAATGATAGATGCTGCAAGAAACAAGGCTCGGGTGAAAGCTTGTTACATAATGATTGGACTCACCATTATCGCCTGTTTTGCAGTGATAGCCTCTGCCAAAAGGGTGAGTATCTCTTTAAAATAAAGCTGGAATGGTGAATTTTAAGAAATATTATGAGCTTTGTTCTCAATTTGGGGATTATTGCTGTGTTTTCAGTGTAAGCACAATTTCAACTTAAACACCTTGAGGCACCCATAAATATCTATCCTCCTGGAAACAATTTCTTTCATGAAAATTTGAGTCCACAAATGCAAACTACATGGGCAGACAGGAGGAACAAATGTTTATTTCCATTTATAAGATGAAAACAAAAACAGGACAGTTCATAGCCTGGTTAAAATCTGCACAAGAAGTTTGTTGTGTGAAAGTTACCCAGACTAGATTGTTCCCTAAGTCATGAACTCAATCAGAGCTGTCGTATAGAATCATGAAATCGTCAGAAATGGCAAACGTTGGAAGTGATCAAGGCCGACTTGTTTGTCTGTATCCTGTATGTGAGCCCTTTCCTTGTCATCTCCAGTACGTGTTTTCTAGAGACAAATTAAGAGCTGATTACTCTAATTGTGTTTTTTGCTTCCCCAAATCCTTTCATCTGCTGATCAGTTTTTACCATGAAGAGCAGCCCCACAAATATTGGGAGACATCTAACACATCCCCATGAGTCTTCTCTGCTCCAGTCTTAATTTCCCTATCCCTTACAACTTCCCTCTATTTTGAGCTCTCCTCTAAACACACTGCAGTTCATCAGTGTCCCTCTTCACTGTGGCATTTGCAAGGGAACCCATCAGAGCACCACTGTAACTTCCTTGTTTGTGAACTGTGCCCTGGAAGCGCAGCCAGAGTTGGAACTAAGTTTTGGCAGCCGCATCACACAGAAGAGTTTGCTTGGATCCGTACATCTTCACTCTCTGGGCGTGTGTAGCCGATTACCATTCTCCCTCCAACTTTTCAGGTTTTTGAGAGTATTTGAGCCCACTCATTCACATAGGGACTGAGTCTGTAAGCTTACTGATGTCATGTACATATCCATTCATTTCTATTAGCATGGCAGAGAACGTGTGCTTTGAAATGATTCTCATCAAAGGGGAAATTTCTTAAATATTTCTTAAATATTCAAACATAGAAATAAAGAAATTTGGTCATCTCTTGTTTATAACCTACTGTAGATAAAATGACTGTCCACCAAGGTGATGATTCTCTAGCTCCTAAATGACAGACTAGAGCCTGATATTGTCTGGACCCTCCTTGTTTTATAATATCTTCTCTTTGTTCATTATGCTCCATCCACACTAGTTCTATTTTTTTTATGCTTTAAAATATTTTATTGGAATCCTTTCGATAAAAACAAGTATTTATGTTAAAGAAATTTAACATAAATTTTGTAATGTTCAATTAACATAAATTTAAGTAATACTTAAGCATCTCAAAATTTCTGGGCAGTTTCTTTCCTCCAGTAAGTTGACAGCTGCTCACACAGAGTAATGCAGGAAAGCTAGATGGAAGCTCCTAGGATCTGCCCAACACCAGATAAGAGATATCCTCTGCGTTAACAAAACCCGTAGTAGCCAGGAAGAAAGGACACAGCTCTTCACTTCTCATCACAGCCTGTAGTTTCAAGTGGCAGGAGCCATTACCTAGGCATCACGGACATCTCTCCACAGCATCTCTCCCAGAGGGCGAATTCCAAACTTCAGCCCTTCGGCTACCTAGGCTTCCTTCTTTCCCCTCACCTTGCCATAGCTGGCTTATTCTCACTCTGGTCAGAGACCTTCCCTGACCACCCCCTCTAAAATGGCCTTGCCCAAGTGCTCACTATTTTATCATCTTCCCAGCTGCTCACGAGTAAGCCATTATACATCAGCAATCCTCTTGACTCCACTTTAAAATATACCTACCATTGGACCACTCCTCACCATCTCTCATGATACCACCCTGGTCTGAGATAACTAACATCTGTTGCCTAATGGATTGCAAAATCTTCTAATGGGTCTCATGGTCTCCCTCTTGCTTCTCTCCAATTCTTTTGTTTTAAATAATCAATGCATATGCTTTAACTGAGACTGTGATAGATGGAGGTGGAGAAAAGTTTAGCAATTTGAGATATATTTGGGGAGGTAGAAAGGGTAGAACTTCGAAGTAAATTTGATGTGGGAAGAAGAAAGAAAATGGAAGACAGAAACCAAAAAGCCTGGGTTTTTTACTTCAGCAACTAGGTGGATGGTACCACCATTTGTGGAGATGTGTAAAGCTGGGGAGAGAACTGGTAGGCACGACAGGCAAAATACACTACGTTCCGTACTGTGGATATATTAAGTGTGAGGGGCGGATTAGGCATTCAACAGTATCTATTAATTTTTTTTATTCTGCTAAGGACTTTGTACACTCTTCAGTCTAAGGACCTATATACAGTTTCCCTCACTTCTGAAAAGTCTAAGCTGTCATAACTTCAAGTAGGGCCCCTTCACCCATTCTGTCTATTCTTTCCACCTACTATGCATGTGTGTTGAACTTCTAATTTGATTCTCCATGTCTCAACTTTTTTTCTATTTTTGGTATCTGTATCTCTGTATTGCACTCAGACCTATTTTCTAGCTAGAGGTTTTTTGTTTTGTTTTGTTTTTTAAGATTTTATTTATTTATTTGAGAGACAGACAGTGAGAGAGAGAGCACAAGAAGAGTGAGGGGCAGAGGGAGAAGCAGACTCCCCACTGAGTGGGGAAACCGATGTGAGGCTCAATCCTGTGACTCCAGGATCATGACCTGGGCCGAAGGCGGACGCTTAACTGACTGAGCCACCCAGGCATCCCTCTAGCTAGAGTTTTTACATCCCAGTTATGATGCTGATCATCTTATCTTTTCAGAGGTGATTCCCCCCCCCCGCCCCCAGATAAATGCCTACTTTCCTTGCCAGTTCCTTGGGCTAGTAAGAGGAATTCTAGTCATTTCAGTGGAGTATCTGATACTTCCAACCCCAGATCCAAACTCTGGACTCACCTTTTGGGGGTAGAGATTAAACTCCCAGCTCACAGCTATTAAAACCAGTATTTTTGGGGCGCCTGGGTGGCTCAGTCGGTTAAGCATCTGCCTTCGGCTCAGGTCATGATCCCAGGGTCCTGGGATCGAGCCCCGCATCGGGCTCCCTGCCTGGTGGGAAGCCTGCTTCTCCCTCTCCCATTCTCCCTGCTTGTGTTCCCTCTCTCACTGTGTCTCTCTCTGTCAAATAAATAAACAAAATCTTAAAAAAAAAAAAAAAAATTAAAACAAAAAAAAAACCAAAAAACCCCCCAATATTTTCCCCTAATGCCCCCTGCCTGAAACCATTCCTTCCCATCCTGGCCTCAGTCCTTCTTATTACCCACCAATTCTTGCCTTTTGAGTTCTTTCCATTTCGGATACCTGAGGATTTCCCTTTCTTGATTTTGAACATAACTATTTGAAAATATTTTTATTTTTTTATCCAAAAAATATGTTTTTGTGTGCCAAGAGAGCCAGGGCAGATTTCTGATGTCAGTTGTCCTATTGACTAGAAGTCTCGCAACTTACATAATTTTTTTTCTATACCAAAGGATTATTTTTCTTGGATACTATTTGTGACAGATGTTTTAAGTTACTTTTCTCCTTTTCACAGAGTATCTGCTATGTATGTCTATCTGAAACACAAATCCTTTCCAGTGGAAATGATGCTTTGCTTTGTTTTTTGTTTTTTATTTTTTTATTTTTCAGGCTGCAGAACGACATGAATCCTTAACAAGTTGGAACCTGGCAAAGAAAGCTAAGTGGCGTGAAGAAGCTGCATTGGCCGCACAGGCGAAGGCCAAATGAAATTCTAAGTGACACAGTGTTAATCAGAGGATCATTACTATTATCAAAAACAATAAAAGATAGGTAAAATAGAATATTTAACAAAATAATTGCCATGGTTTTATTTGGTAAAGAGAAGCACAAAGTCTTTTTATTTTTACTTTTTAGTAAAATCTTACTGAAGTGGAACTGTATTCAGAAAAGTGCACAGAAGTGTATATAGCTTGATACATATTTACATAGTGAACACACCTGCATAACCACCTCCCAGGTCAAGATGCGGAACACCAGTAACAT